TTTCATTACAGGTTGATAAAACCAGTAGGGTGTAAAACTCAATGCTTTTTCAATTTCATTACAGGTTGATAAAACCAGTAGGGTGTAAAACTCAATGCTTTGTCAATTTCATTACAGGTTGATAAAACCAGTAGGGTGTAAAACTCAATGCTTTTTCAATTTCATTACAGGTTGATAAAACCAGTAGGGTGCAAAACCCAATGCTTTTTCAATTTCATTACAGGTTGATAAAACCAGTAGGGTGTAAAACTCAATGCTTTTTTAATTTCATTACAGGTTGATAAAACCAGTAGGGTGTAAAACTCAATGCTTTTTCAATTTCATTACAGGTTGATAAAACCAGTAGGGTGCAAAACCCAATGCTTTTTCAATTTCATTACAGGTTGATAAAACCAGTAGGGTGTAAAACTCAATGCTTTTTTAATTTCATTACAGGTTGATAAAACCAGTAGGGTGTAAAACTCAATGCTTTTTTAATTTCATTACAGGTTGATAAAACCAGTAGGGTGTAAAACTCAATGCTTTTTCAATTTCATTACAGGTTGATAAAGAACAGTTTGATAAAGTGATGAAGTATATCAATATAGGACAGAAGGAAGGAGCCAAGATGACAACTGGAGGAAAACGTGTGGGTGATAAGGGATATTTTATTGAACCAACCATATTTAAAGATGTAGGAGAAAACATGAAGATTCAACAAGAAGAGGTCAGTTATATAGAGTGTAAGGTAGTGTTAGTTGTATCAGCGGCCCTGCAGAACATCACTGCCAAAAAATGAGCAGGGAAATGAAGCAAGAGCTGGGGTGTTCTGGGAGCAGGTTCCCCATGAAAGAGTTTGAAAATTGCATTTCATGTGGTTGGAAAGAGTATTATTTCAAGAACGCAATACATACCTCAACAATAAATATCAGTCAGGCGCATTAATTTTCACCAATTTAAGATACTCTGTGAAATATAGAAAAGATATATATAGAAATAGTGAGGTAAAATTCCTAGTTTGAAGTATTTCTAAAGGAATTTTGTGATATGCGTACATTTCTAGTACTTCTTCTGAACACTATTTACATATATTCAGGTTGTAAATCAACCCCCCAAACTGGCACACCTGTCCCTTTAAAGTATTAGTATCAGACTAATGCTGATAATGAGAGTGGTTAACTAAATTTTGGGGGAATTAGATAA